GGGCCCGGGGCGGGGGAGTCATGCCCTGATGTTGCCACCCCCCCAGATTCAGGAGGCACCACTCACCCATGCTGTACCCCCTGCTCCTGCACACATGTGCACTGTACACACTAGGGTGGTCAAAATGCATCATAGGAACAGAAGTAAGGAGGACTTTTTTTTTTCAATGTACCTTCCCTCTTGCCTCGCCTTCTTCCTCAGTGGCATATTCCCTTCCCTCCACTGCCCACCATTGCTGCTGTCCCCAGCTGATCTGGGTGCAGGGGTGGGGAGGTTAGGGGGAAGGTTCCAGAGCCCCACTGCTGCTGGGCTGCATGTGGAGCCATGCTCAGCTAGGTGAGGAATAGACGTTACACATAAACTGGTTTAAGTGATCAGAAACTGGTTTAAACCTGTAACAGAATGTAAGTTCAGTGCACATAAACCAGTTTCAAAATGGCTGAAACTGGTTTAAGATAAATCTTTAAGATAAAGATGCTTTGCAGCCCTGGGCTGGGCTTGGACTGGGCTAGGCTGTGCTCTTTGTTCCAAAAAATAGGCTGGCCCTGCCCCTCTCCTTCATAACCAGAGCTCTGGGGGAGACTGCAGGCCCAGCAGGGTCTGCCTGGCTTGCCTCACTGCTCAAGCAGGGATTCCCACCTCTCTCCCTCCCATCTCCCATAGCACGGACCTCACCCCCATGGACCCTAGGCATGTGGTATGCTATCTAATGCTGAGAGGTGTTTGTGTGTGTGTGTCTCGAATTTCACTGGGACAGGACAAAGGCAGATAGAACAGTGTCTATTTAGGGCTTTTTGGAGCTAATCAACAGGTCAGCTGATAATATCCCTCCTTGGAAAAAGCTGTTTAAGAAGAACTTGAACTAATGAAAGAGGCTTTTGTTTTGCTGATGGGCTGATAAATACTTTGGTTTTATCAGCCTCCTCCTGGTTTGCAGCCCTTTCAGGTTTGCAGACAGGGAGAGGGAGATTGAAAAGCTCAGTATCATCAACAGATGTATGCACTGCACCCCCCTCCCTTTGCTTCAGAGTGCTAGCCTGAGGCTGGGGGCTGGCAACACTCCTGCCCCTTGAGCAGTGAATGGGATGGGAGGGGAAGGGAAAGCCTGAGAGTGCAGGCCAGAGTGGGGGATTAAACTCCTCCCTAATCAAAGTGTCCTGCTGGGGCCTGGCCAGCCTCCCCCTTCAGCTCAGCACCATGGAAGGGAAGGGAGGGCTGCTCTAGCACCCCCTGGCTTCTAGCCTGAGCTACTACAGGCATGTGGCTGCATTTCTGGAATGAAAAGGGGATGTCTGTCCACCTCCAAATCGGTTCAAGCTTTGCAGGTTAGAGTAACATGCAAAGATTGAATCAATTCAGGCTCTGGCTTTTTGAATGTCTGTCCCTAGCCCTAGAGACAGCAGCAGCAGTGGCCAGATACCCCTGGACCTGCTCCTGAGCTGACAGATAACACTGTGGGTACCTGGCAGGGAGAAGTGACCTGCCTCCTGCTGCTGCTGTTCCTGGCTGAACTCAGTTCTGCACAGAGTTGAGCTGCAGTGGGCAGTAGTGGTTCTAGAGCGCCCTGTACTTGGGACAGCCAGAGATAGCAGCAACAGTGTGTGAGTGAAGAGAGGGGAAGGAATGTGTCACTGAGCATGGAGGGGAAAGGAGAGAAGGATTCTTTCTTGCTCCAAGGACTTAAAAATAAGGTCTCTGGCTGGTCTTCCCAGTGTGGTTAACTGAAAGGGGCAGGTGTCCATGCCACTGTATTCCCCTGGAATCTGCAACTTAATCCATGTACTTTTTCTGTGTGTTCTCTCCTAACAGGAACACAAAATGCATCTGTTTATACAAAAATGATCTTGGCTTATCTAAGTAGTCATGCTAATTTATTTGCTAGGACCTCAGTGCAATTTCTTAGTTCACAGCTTTATCTCTGTAGAAGTAAATATAGCATGGCAAATGTTAGATTATGCCGTTACAGGTAGGAATCAAACAAGAGAACAGGCTGAAAAGAAATTATAAATACAGTAGAAGGAAGGCAAAGTATGGTCTACATTACAAAGTTTTGCCATTATTGCTATATCAGGTATGGATATGAAACTGTGACACACTGCCAGCTGATGTAGGTCTGCATATGCCACTCCCTTTCTCTCCCCATCTGAACACAACTGTTCCTGCAGAAAAGAGTATTGCTAGCTTAATTGTTATTGTTTAGGGACCTTATCTGCTGCAATGCCCCGGTAAAGGGCTTTAGTATAGCTATGGTAGCATCTGTCTTGCAATGTCTAAAAAACCCTGGGACCCATTGCTTAGAGGCTTGATCCAAGTACACCAAATGGAACAAGAAGACTTATGTCAGTGGAAGTTAGTTTTAGTTCCAGGACCCTGATTCAGCTTTCCATCCCAAACCAATAAAGCTCTTAACATGTGTTTAAGTGTTTTACCAAATAAGATAGATTCAAACAAATGCTTGAACAAGTGTCAAATTAGGCCACAAGTGAGATGTATTAAAATCCATGCAATTATTTAAGAATTTGCTCCAAACCTACAGAAGTCAATCTGAGAGTTTGGATTGGGCCTTGGATCAGACCCTTGAGTTTGTAGGATTGGGCCAAACTGTTGCTACCTAATAACTTAATCACTGAAAAAAACCAAATATACACAAAAATGTGGCTTATTAAAACAAATTAGATTTGTATTTGAAGATAATTTTCATGTACCTTCTATTTCATCACTAAAATGTTGTTATAGGCCATTATTTGCAAAGGACTCAAGGGAATGTTTAATCATTAATCCTGAAATATGTGTTATTAAAAAAACTCTGTTACTATAGCCTTGATATTTATAACACCTATTGCACACATTTCTGATTACAAATGAAAAAGTATACTAAACATAAAATCGCCAAAATACATGCTGAATGGCATGTTATGCCAGATGTGGGCCGACCTTATGCCAGATGTGAGCCCACAGGAGTCAGTGGCAATGGTGTAGTAACTTGCTATGAGTGTAGCGTAATCAGTTTCTCTCCCAGAGTTGGTTTAAAAGGCACTAGAATTTAAAAATAAAAATGTTTGCTAAATAGAAGAGAAACTAACTCAATAAACAAGTTTATAAACATTTTAGAAGGCATCACAGCATAGAAAGGGTACATAAAACATTGATACTATCCCTTCAAATGGAGTTGAGTGTTTTGCCGTGTAATGCTCTGGTAACTGTCCTTCAGATTTTGTTTTTTCTTTCTTTCTTTTGGGCATATTTTATAGAATTGAGCTCAGGAGTTCCCCTCCTTTACGATGACACTCCTGCTCATCTGAAGAAGATGGAACCAGAGACTGTAAAGGTGGTTGGACCATGGCCAGCTTTGCACGTCAATATAAACAAGGTATAGTGCATATGCTAGACAGCTTCTTTTGTCATTTTAATATTCAGCAGTGGTGTTATATCACTATTAATTCAAACCAGTATTCTGTCTGTCACATATGAAGCATCTTGTACTATTTCCTTATAGGCTTTAAAAAAATATTTCCTATTTCCTTCCACTTCATCTTCTGAAATTCAGTTAATTGGAAATGGTTGGTTAGGCAGAAAAAAGGCTGTGTGTGTGTGTAAGTATAAAAGACACATTTCCTAGCATTCCTCTATGGTGTGCTTTATATTGTGTCTGTTCTCTCTATATATGCCTAAACTATTTACAGAATGAGAACTCAATTACAGTATATTGGGAAGGGGAGAAAGGACAGTATTGAGCTTTTCTATGACAAAGGATTGATGATCCTTTATTTATATAAATTATGAACAAGGCACAGTGGCATAACAGTTAAGGGGTCTCATTACAGTTCCAGAGACATAAGTTAAAGCCTAACCCCAGACTTATCCCGAAGCCATTTACAATTGACCCCACCGTAAATGAGCAGGGCTGTGCAAAATTTCACCGGCTGTTTCATTTCAACGCTGTTTCGACTCATTTCGAGCTTGAAACAGCAAAATTGAAATGAAACAGGGGGCTTTGAAACAGCCTCAAAACAAAACGAGGCCAGTTGAAACATTTTGAAAGTTTTGAAACTTTTCAAGTTTCGAAGCAGCAGCCCAGCCAGGTGGTGGGAGGCAGGAGAGAGCCAGGACTGCGCTCCCCATGGCTCCATGCAGCCCCATGTGGCTCAGCTCGGCGGGGAGCACAACCCTGGATCTCCCTGCCTCCCGCCACTAGGCTGTGCTCCCTGGGGCTGGCGGAACCAATCGGAGTGCAGCACCAGCACTGCCTGCCTCCTTACTCCGGGCTGCACTCCAGTCGGCTCCACCAGCCCCATGGAGCTCAGCCCACTGGCAGGAGGCAGGCAGAGCCAGGGCTGTGCTCTGCCTCCTGCCACCGGGCTGAGTTCCATGAGGCTGCAAGCCGCCGGGAACCCAGCCTGGTGGAGGCAGGTGGGTTGGGTTCCCAGCTGCTTGAAACCCGGTGCAGCCACTCGGAGCCCAATTTGCTTCAAGTTCCCAGCCACTTGAACCCCGATTGCAGCACTGGGGAGGGGAACTCAGCCGGGCTGAGTTCCCTTCCCCAACCTGATCGCAGCGCTGGGGAGGGGAACAAAACTTGAAATGAAACATTGTTCCATTGAAATGTTGAAACGGATGTTGAAGCAGAACGCTGCTGTTTCGCACAGACCATTGAGTACCTGGTCATTTGGGTTGGAGAGCTCCAGGCTGTTGAAAACAATGCTAGTCATAGCACTCCACTGGCAAGAGAAAGCAGTGTGCATTAATCGTGCCATGCTGGGATGGAGTTTTGACTTTATTTCAACTGTGTTAACTCCCCTGCAGCTTAAACATGTCTTTGTTTTGGCGATTCAGTCAAGTTAGTAGCCCCAAACTGAGAAAATCACAACATTTTAAATTTAAAAAAATAGACTTATTCTGTTCTTCTTACAAGAAGTTATCTCTGTAGTGCTATAGAACAAGCCTAGCCTGGGTGTACGTACGAGAACCAAAGAATTTGGGATTTGATTCTATAGTTATTAACTTTGAGACTTTGGAGGAAGCCAGTAGAGTTGTGAATGTGACAATTCCTGCAACATGACCTTTAGGGAACTATCTTGTTTCTACGGAACTGACTTTAAACAAAGCAGGATAAGTCCCTTAGTGTGTAAACTGGTTAAGAGGGAAGACAGGGCTTTAAAATAATTAAGTCAGTTCAAGGGAGAACATAATTAAATGACTGTATATTGTTTTCACACAGAGATATTGATAACAATGCTGCATTGGAGTATATGCAAAGGAAGAGGCATCTAGATTACAGTTTAGAAGTAAGACAGCCGAAGAGGAGATATCTGATACTAGAGAGATCTCTAGTTTCACAGATAAGGTCGTGACAGGATCCAGTGAGTTAGAAGTAAAAGTTAGGGCTGGCAGAATTGTTTTTCCTTAAAGATAAAGCAGAACATTTTAGTGAAAAAACTAAATATGAACTATTTCAGCCAAAAAATCAAAAACCTTAATATTTCACATACAGGTTTTGGATGTTTGGTTGGGTCAAAAATTTCCATTAGACACTTTTTCGACAAAAAAAAAATGATGCTGTTGGAGGAAGGGAGGAATGTTGACAGGAAAGCTTCAGTTAGTTTTGTTAGAAATAAATTGGAAATAAGGTGCAAATCTTTAACAGTGAGTGTAACAAACCACTGGAATAGCTCACCAAAGGAAATTGTTCATTGCATGGTGTCTTTACTGTCTTAGATCAAAAACAGATGACTTTCAAAAAGAGGCGAACTGATTCCATCATCAGTCTTCTTATCGCTGTATTATGGCACAGCCTGCCCTGGAATATTATAAGAGGCACTATACCAATTTATATTAAAGCCCAGTACCAGCCCCAAAGAGCCTGTAATTAGACAGAACCAGTCATGGGTTAGGACAAAGAGATAATATAAGATACAGGTAGAATGAACAGCCTGATAACCGCAAATCACAAATTTTACTGAGCTCAGGACAGGAAGTACTAGTTGAGGTTTTTTAGCCAGTACTATACATAATAAATATCCCTAATGGTGACCTGATAACCTCGAGATGTATTTATTTATATTTTTAAATGACAATTCCAAACATATTAGATCTGATTTTTCCATCCTGATATGGATTATCTCCCTGTTCAAGTAGTACTACTGGTATCCTTATAATGTGTGGGGCAAAATCTGGCTTTCAATTCTTTATTTGGTTATGCCTACATGATGTGATCCAGTGCAATGCAAACATATGTAAACTAGCTCAAGTAACAGAAGAAGTATAGCCACAGTAGCATGGTGCTCTGCCTAGGCTAATATTTGTTTCTCAATGGGTCTAATTAGTTTGGGTGGAGCATCACACTAGCATTATTAATCCAGCTCTTGGTAGCCAAGTTGCATCACTGAGAGCTAGCTTGCATTCATCTGTGCAGCACTGCATTGTGCCATGCAGACACATGCTATGATCCTTAACAAAACAAAAGGTCCACTTGGCTACCTAGTGATTTTCTGTGGCTTGCCTTGACAGCAGCAGATTATCATTTAAATTCAGAAGGATTATTTTTTTAAAGCTGAATTAAAGGAACCCAGTGCTACAGCAAGTCAGTACCTTGCTGTGATTACAAAAGAAATATTTTCCCTCAAATACTGACCTCTTTAAAAGGGCACAGTAAATACGCTTCACATCTGCTGTAATGAAGAGTTGTAGCTATCCATTAAAAGTTAAGTGAATGGAGAAGTTTTTGCACTGAGCTTGACAGTTTGCCAAACTCAGAGTCTAGGCTGTTAGCAGAAGCAGTTTCCAGAGACATGGCCAATCCAGTGAAAATACCACGTGGCTAATCCTGGAGATTTCTGCTTCAGGAACTGGAGAACAAGAATAATCCATGCATGAGGGATGAGGAAGTTCTGAGGGTTTAAACCAGTACATTCTGAGCCATTGAAGTTTGTATGTCCTTTTCTAAGGATAGCACAGGTTTTTTTTAGCAGAGAACATTGAAATAAGCTGGACTTGAAAGGTATGGCTGTCCTACTTAGCTCTGCACTCAGGGTTGTCCCCCAGCCCAAATCCACTGACTGTCTATACTGAAAATCACAACTCCCATCAGCAGTCCAGACTGCCTGAAGTCAAGATGCTTCATCCACCTCTCCCCAAAGTATGTTGGATACTCACCTGGGTACTGCAGATCTCACACCATCAGGAAAGGTCCACCAGCAGCAATCCCATAATTTCTTGGATCTCATTTCTGGGCCATCTGTACATGACTTCCTGTCCCTCCTGTTTGCAGCTAGAGCCAAACACACAAGGAGAGAAAAGTCCGACTGATTCCTAGAAAGACTGCACTCAAGGAACAGGAAGTTTCTAGAAATCTATCTGCCCACTACTGTTGTCTCTCCTTCCCAGCTTTGTGTGAAGTTGCTGCCAAGGTAATGAGCATGGCAGGAGATGACTCCTCTGCATCAGGCTAAGCGCAATTTTAAGGGTTGACCCCAAAGAGGAGTGTAGGCATACCCAAAGTTAGTGGTGTGGATTCCTGCAGTTGACCCATCTTATATGCAGCTGATTAAACTGAAAGGGTGCATCCAGATGAGTGCAGATGTTTGGTTCCCCCGGAAAAGTAGCAGCAGCGCACCTTGCCCATCCCATGTGTGCTTTGGTGTGCAGCAAGTTACCCCAGGGGCAGTAGGGGAGGCTGGGCCAACACTGTTCTGGCCCCAGCAGCCTTACCTAGGGTGCTGGGGGCTTCCCGTGGCTGTAGCTGAGGCGATCCTGCCAGGCAGAGCCTGGCCAGCAGCTGCAGCATGACTATAGACAGCCTGGCTCTTCTTTTCAGCAGCGCCCGCTGCCTGAGCATGCACAGCTCTGGTTTTTCTTTCTGTGGGTTTATTTGACCCCTGGATATCCAGGGGTCAGAAAAACCCACAGAAAAAAAATGGAGCAGCACATGCATGTGCATCTTGCCCTTGCAACATGGAGAATGCCTGACTGTGCAATATGTGGCTGCAGACGTGTTTGCAGCGCTAAATACCATACAGCCACGCTTGTCTGAATGCAACCAAAAAGTCAGACTCCTTCCATATTGTTCTGAACTGTCAGGCTTTTGCACCAATCTCAGCTGATGTTTTCTAAAAGAGGGGAGAGGTTGCAAATGTTGGACCCATTCTGTTCCAAACAATCAGCTCTGCTCAACAAGAGGGAGTAAGGTAGGATAATCCAAAACACTGGATCAAATGAGCATTTTCACAAGGAAGAGTGGACCTTGACATATTGTCATTTGCCTTGGGTAACAGGACAGTGAGAGAACCTTGTAAAAATCAAGCTGGTAAGTTTTAAAGAGTAGCCAATATGTTTCTTGTTTCTAGCTCTCCCCTCACCCTCTCTCGAGCAAAA